TAAAACCTAACAAGCAAAGTCCTGAAAACCCAAATCTGGGTATGGGGAAATCAAGTGGCTTCACTGACTTTGTTTTCTACAGTTAAAAATCTTATTTCGCCAACAAATATTTCCAAAATGGAAAATTTGGTTTCAATTATCATGGTTGAAATGTCCATCTGCTTCAGACAGCAGTGATACCCAAAATTTTCTACAAAAGTTTCTATCCACAACTACTAGGAGTGGGAGAGGACTCAAGGAATGCTGTGGGAAGAAAGAAAAGACAAGGGTATTCAACACTTGCTCTTCTCTAGAGGGGTCTTGCTAACATTTTACCTGGCAGTGACAAACTCAGCATTTAGAGAATATCAGCTAAGTCATGTCATCTCAAAAAATATGATCTATCTGTTCATCGATCAAGGGTAAAGAAAAATCTCTTCTGGCTCTGCACCTCCTTGAGGAGGACCAGGCTCTCCTTCATAAGGAGAACTGCTCCCACAAATTCATGGCATAGTGCTGGGTGCACGGTACCCCTCTCAAGCAGGTGCACCCCAGTGCTTCTGAGGAAGAAAACCACAATTTTAGGGAAAATGGACTATTGATTTCCTCTTTTTATTATGCCTCTCCCAAAAGTTGTTCTCTGCAAATCTTGCAGATATGCCAGACACTGAGCATGGAAAAAAAAAAAAATTAAGATTTTATCTTTGAATAATCTCTACATCCAATGTGGGGCTCGAACTCACAACCCTGAGATCAAGAATTAAATGCTTTATCAAGTGAGCCAGCCAGACATCCCTGGAAAAAAATTTTTTTTAATTGTAGCAATATGCCTAACATGAAAATTTCCATTTTAACCACTTTTAAGGATACAGTTCAGTGACATTAAATACATCCATGCTGTTGTGCAACCATCACCAACACATCCATCTCCAGAGTATAACAAGGCTGATCAGCCCATAAGACTGATTTTCAGAACTGAAATAAAATCCCAAGGGGTGCCTGGGTGGCTCAGTCAGTTAAGCGTCCAACTTCAGCTCAGGTCATGATCTCACAGTTTGTGGGTTCAAGCCCTGCTTCGGGCTCTGTGCTGACAGATAGCTCAGACCTTGGAACCTGTCTTCAGATTCTGTTTCCTTCTCTCTCTGACCCTCTCCTGTTCATGCTCACGTGCTCTCTCTCTCTCTCCCTCTCTCTCTCAGAAATAAATAAAACATAAAAAAAATTTTTTTTGAAATAAAATCCTAAGATCAAGAGCAAGCGCCATTTTCAATGTCTATCTGCTCTACAAACACACATACCCATACATACACACAATTCATCACTATAGTAGTTGAGAGCCAGAGACCCTCTTCCTTTGTGAAACAGAACGCAGAGTCATCTTCCTGTGACTGATCAAGAAACACTGATTTCTCACCAAGGGAGATGGGAATCTCAGCATCAGCAGGTCCCTTAGAGAGCTGAAGAGCTTGGGGGATACAGCAAAGGTGAGTGCAAACTCCTACGTTCTTCTTGAGATTTTGACTGAACAAAGGTGTATCCGGTTGGTGGTTCCAAACCACGAAAGGCATCCAGATGCCTCAGGATGTCTATAAATAGGAGGATTAAGGTAGGTGTTGGTGAAAACTAGCAGAGGAAATACCAAGCCCCGTGTGGTATCTTACTACGAGAAGATGGATGATTCAGGTAGAAGCAAAAGGAGGAGCCTAATAAGCTCTTCCCAATTTTTTCATGGGAAAAGTCCCACGTAGGTTGCTTCAGATGATAAATATAGAAAGTCCTTTTTTTTTAATGATTTGTAAAGTTTAATTTTTTTTAATGTTTTATTTTATTTCTGAGAGAGAGAGAGACAGCATGAGCAGGGGAGGGTCAGAGAGAGAGGGAGATACAGAATCTGAAACAGGCTCCCGGCTCTGAGCTGGCTGACAGCACAGAGCCCGACGCGGGGCTCGAACCCACGAACCACGAGATCATGACCTGAGCCGAAGTCGGAAGTTCAACCGACTGAGCCACCCAGGCATCCCTAGAAAGTTCTTAAAATAAGCTTTGGTGAGTATCCCAGCACAAGTCATGGGGTACACCCAGGCAATAGATGAACACTAAAGATAACAACAATTACCATTTACCTTGTACCTAGTCTGTGTCATAGATATTTTACTAGATGCTTTTTATATTACCTCATTTGATCCTCACAACAACTCTGTGAGGTACAGACACTGTTATTACTCCCATTAAACCAAAAAGAAAAATTGTGACAAAATGTGACACACTCAAGGTCACATAGTTCATAAAGGAGATTCACTGCAAGGCCTATGTTACCCTAAATCCCGGGCTTTCAATTAATAGCCTTTTAAGGGAGAAGTTATTTTCATACCCTCATGGCAAAGAAAGAAAATTGTTCAGTAGAAATCTCTTGGCTGAAAAATCTTAATGCTTAAAAACAGCCCCAATTAAGCTTTGGCGGGTTAAGTGTGGAACAAGCAGAGATTCAGGATTCCTCCAGTTGCTGGAGGTTTGACATGTGATCCTAGGCCAGTCACTCAGCTTCTCCCACCCTGGCTTTCCCAGGGAACTTGTACAACCAGGCTACTTCCCCTGTTCTCCGCCTACAAAGCATTCCATAGGGTCAATGACCCGTGCTGAGATAATAAGGCCGATAGCCAAAGATGAACCTATTGGCCAAGGTTTCAATCTCTTCTCTCACTTTCCTCTTAGTTATCACTGCTTCCCATAAAAGTTATCAGTTAATCACCAGATAATTATGCAGCACCTACTATGCATGTAGCCACATGGGGATGAGTAAGGGGTGTTCAGAGGGGCATCATCCTTACCCCCTGAAGACACATCTCTGAGTCTGGGAACTTGGTAAGATACATGAAACAAAAGCACAAAAAGATCTGGTGGGTGGGGCTATTATTCCGTATTCAACTGGAGGTACTGGAATTCAGAAGAACATCAGCCGGGACTAGAAAAGCTGAGGTTTTCAACACAAAGTAGGATTTTTAAACAGTCTTGACAGATGGATAACTTTAGGAAAAGAAGAAGGGAAATGGCATTTAATGTAAAAGGAACTCCAGGATCTAAGGATCTGGGGCTGGATGGAGTAGCATACAGGATATATGGTCACAAAACAGACCAAAAGATTGCTTGGTGAGGTATGGGTAAGCAGGGGAATGCAGACTGAGCCAGAGTTCAGAGGACTTGAGGTCTGACATGGTAAGCTGGACGTGAAGTGGGAACAAATGGTAGTGAACTGGGTGACATGGTGAACCCTGGAAGCTGCTCAATTTATATTTCTTGACTATTCTCTGCCTCTAGTAGGGGAAAAACCAAAGAACAGGCTCAAAAAGGCAGGTGGTATAAAGCGCAGGAAATCAGCCATCCCAGCAGAGAGGCACCAGAGCATCGAAGAACAACAGATCTCCTAGAGGGCAAAGACTCATTACATTTCTCAAAACAGAAGATGCCCCAAAATGCTCAGGGAGCAGTAGTGTTATCAGCCCCTGCTAGTCTTAAAAGGACCTTTCACCTCTGACACACCACCAGTCAAGCAAATCAGCGTGATCCAGAACCTCTAAACGACCATTCACCTCACCTCTGCCCTTCTACTTAACTAGCTATCACACCAGTAGGTGAGGACACTACCCACCTCTGCTCCCAGCCTAGGAAACAGGCCTCCGGATGCTTTGTTGCCCAGCAGGCCACACTAAGCTCCTGTTGCTGAGGGAGAAGCTGCATCAGCAGCACACTCAGACGAAAAAGTCCCAGACTCTTCCTGCAGGAGTCATATAAAGAAACGCAGTCCCTGGGGCCTCTTCAGACAGGAAGACACCCAACAATCATGCCAATTTTAACAGGGATACGTAATGGCATCCCTCTGCCCCATGAGATGCACCAGTGGGGACAATATGTGCAAAGGAAAGTGTTTATTGAGGTACAATCCAGTGCTGAGTTAGAAGAACCTGTTACCATTCAACCAGCCAGTTATCATCTGCATCAAACCTGCAACTCAAAGCAGTGCTCCCCCCCCACCCCCGCAATGGTGCACTGCCACACCTCACCCCTCCCTGGCTAATGCTCCCTGCTGTCTTCTCATCTCAAGGAAAATGGCAAACCTTGTTCTTTACCAGCCACAGACCGACAGAATGAAGGGGATGACACAACAGGAGGAGACGTTTTAGCACAGAAAAATGATCCACCCCCACGCTGCATAGAATACCTCTAAAATAAAAGAATCAGATCTTCGGATAATAGTTTAAAATGTATATACGCACATGCCTGCCAGAAAATAAACTCTCACTAGTTACAGCCAGCTCACCAGAAGTACTTAAATTCCCTTCTGTTGATTCCTATTTCATAAGGAATCCCTGATGGACAGAGCAAGAGCAAGAGTTCCTCTAGCACATACCTTCCAGTATAATTCATAAACTTTTCAACAAAAATGAACATCAGTTGAGAACAAGTGTCATCTGAATGGGTTTCTCTCCTTCCTATTTGAACTTGTGTGTGCATATAGGCACACAGACGCACACGCGCGCACACACACACACCCTTTTAGGACAGACATGAGCATGGTATGCTGGCTGAAGATTTGAGCACTTTGGTGTAAAAATGTAAGCAGTCCATGCCAGGCCAGCCCTGCTGTGACATCAGAAACCCCCCACCAAAGAAAAACCACCCCCGGAAAGTAGGCAAGAAAGGGAAACGCCTCCTTGAAACAGCCTGAGAAAGACAATCTTGATTCAGCCCGTGCTGAAACTATACCCGAACACCACCAGGAAGTCCCTTCTTTCAGGGTGCTCCACTGCTCAGCAAACCCAGACCTGCCTCTGCGGAAGCCAGATCTTTGGAAAAGGGGGCTTCCCTGCTCTGACTCTGCCGTCCTCGGGGATCCATCAGTGGCCAGGTCTTCCTACCCTGCCGAGCCAATGCAGATACAAAAGCTAGTAGCTGCACCACAAGCATACACACACACACACACACACACACACACACACACACACACACACTTAATACATACGTACCTTTCACCCTCCATTGTGCGAGGCCCAGCAGGGGTGGCAGCCGCTGAACTGTGCATGCACCCGGAGCTCCTAGCTCTGTTCTCAGTTCTCCCGGACAACCAACAGGAGATCTGATCAGCAACAGTGATTCAGCATGGCTGCAAATGAAGCCTCCTCCCTCTCGATCCTCCTTCCTCTGACTTACTCCCAGCAGCTTCTACCGCAGAAGCGGCAGCAGCAGAAAATGTCTTACCCAGAGCTCCCTGCAGCCCTTCAGCTGCTAAAAGCAGCAACCCACTTGCTCCCCCTCCCCCGCAGGCTCGCTGCTCCCCCCGTTTCCTAGGAACGGCGCAGCTCCATCGGCCCAAGTGCAGTGCCACCTTTCCAGCTGCCTTCACATCTGCCCAGGCATCCCCAGCTCCGGAGACTAGCCCATCCTGGGGCTCCCACCTCCTGTGCCTACGCTGCAAAGGTTCAGGCAGTTCCTCACCAGCCTAAGAAACACATGCCCCCACCCCCTCCCCTGCCTCCATAGGCTACAAGTCTGTCAGCCCAGCCGGTCGGATTGTTGGAATGAGGAGGCCCCTCTGTGGCTTGCGCTGGAGTTTATCCACCTGGGGAAATCGGCTTGTAGGTCACAGCTCACATTCCAATTCCTCCTCACAAAACCTACAGTAGTTCTGACGGTCTGACGGATGGAGAGAAGTTAGGGGGAAAGAGTCTGATAGCTCAGAGAATGTGGAGAGAAATTTTATAAAGGGAACAGTAGACATAGGTGAAATGGGAACCAACCCTATTTTGCCTCCAAGGGCCAAGGATGACGGCAGTGAAGCCATCAGAGTGAATACTGCACACGTTGATTTCCCTACACCGTGCTGAACGACCACAAATTTCACTGCACAATACTGAAGTATCTGCTTAAGGCAGTGAAATTTAACTGAAGCTGTGGCTCCAACTACTCAGTCTCCCACTGAACCCCCTTCTCTAGCCAAAGATCGCCTGTACCCTATAATCTCCAGCTGCTGAGCTTCAATTTAGACTTCCTTGAGTCTAAAACATCATTTTAGGAAGGCAGAAGGGCAGTCTGTGTCTCCTAGCCACAGCCAAGAGGCTTAATGGAAATTGAGGCAAATCACCACTGGTGATTGGTTAGCCACAGAAATGGGTTCAGAAGCATCCTTAATGCCTCGGAAAAGTCACATATGAACATCTCTGTTCTCAAACCATCCATATCACTCATGGGCTTTTCAGGATCTATACTACCACTAACTAGCTGAGTGACTTTGAGCCAAGTCTTCTCCCAACTCTGAACCTCAGATCCTCCTCTATAACACAGGATCAGTCCACGGTCCCTTTTCAGCTCTACAATCACATGATTCAAAAAAACGGCTTAAATGTTCCATTTTGCTTATTCATCTGTAAGACTGCTTAAGAAGAAATTTTTACTGGACTCTTAATTTTGTAGGGGGCTTCATGGAGGATAACATAAGTATGTGAAAGCATAAGAGATGACTGTCCAATATATGACTGTTAAAATTTTCAACCTGTTAAATTGCTACAAAGCCTTGAAACAGTGGAATGGGGGAAGGGGAGCCACAGGGAGTTAACAGAAAGTAGGAGTAACTTAAATTTTATACAGCCTCCTGAATGCAAACTGGTAGGGTGTTAGTCTCAAAGATTATCTCCCACTGACATCTCAGTGTCCTCTTAGATGGGGCTACTACCCAAATTCACTTGTTCTCAAATGAGATGAAGCCTGGGTTTTTTTATTTACATCCTACAGTCCCTGGATCACCACTTTTTCCTTTCACAACAACACCCCTCATATCTTTCTCCCTCTGTCCTTTCCTCCTCTAATCAGCCTTGTGGCTCTGCTCCAGATATTTCCTCTCGAGGTGAATCACAGGGACCAGGAGAAGCTGAACACCACAAACAAGGAAACTGAATCCCAGACTCCGTGCCAGAGCACAGACATCCACCAGGAAGACAACTGGGTGATTCATAAAAGGGACATAAAAGTAAGATAAGTCTCTCTTTTACAACTTTATACCCTTATTTACCACTTTACCATACAGGAAAGGGTGGAAGTGTCACATCTAACAAACCAGAGAGAAAAGAAAAAGATGGTCAGAAAGGAAATACTTACGGCTGAGTTTATACAGATTTGATTTGACAGTCAATATAAAAATTTTACAGCACTTCCTTCACAACCTACTTTTGCTGTGCTAACCAATGTCACTACAATGTATGTGCTGGAACCTTACTATTACCATCTGTTAACCATTCACTGTATCCACTGAGGTACACAGAACACAGAATATTCAGAGAAGGTCATCTAGCAAAACCAGGGACAGAGCTGAGTCAAGAATCAATGTCTCCAGATTCCTGGCACAAAGTTAGGACTCTAATCTTCTCTAATTTCAGAACTACATTTTACATTTTCTACTTTATTATCCAACTGTTCTCTGGGCCACAGCCTGAACCTATTTGCTTTAGGCTAATTTTCCTGACTGAACTTCAGATTATGAAGAGATGCTACTAGATTCTAAAGAGAGAAAATCAAATGGAACCAAACTGGTATCTGCCTGGGGGGAAGAGGTCTCATCCTTTGACTGCTCAGCAACAGTGTCTTATGTCTTCCTTCCCAGCCCTCCTTCCCACACCCAGAATTCTTCAGTTTTATGTGGCTCAGGAAGAAACCATGTTAGGAAAAGAAACTTTTTTATTTAACTGAGTTTGGTCTAGATAGTTCTTTTCTCCACACTCCATCTCTCCACAGGGAGCCAGTACAGCATAGCTTATCTGGAAACAGTAAAATCAACCATTCTTTCCAGGTATCTTTTTTCTTTTCTCACTATTATTCTCCTTCTCCAGGCATTCAGTTTCTCACATTTGTAGGCACCCTAACACAGTACAGTGGTGTGTGTCACCGTGACCCACCTCCCTGTGAGTCAGGAGCATTGGCCTAGCTGGTTAAAACTGTATGCATCAGGGGGTCAAAAGGCACAATGAAACTTTTCAGGGTTATGGAAATGATCCATATCTTGACTATGGTAATACTTAGATGATTATATACAACTACTACATTACCTCAAACTAAACACTTAAAATGGGTGCACTTTATTTTATGTAAATTATGCCTAAATAAATCTGGGAAAAAAACAAAAACACTACAGTGCCAGGCTCCACCTCACACCTACAGAATTAGGGTCCAAGAAGCAGTAATTTCAATGAACTTCATAGGAGATTCTAATGCATAGCTAAATGTAAAGACCACTTAGAACAAATGAAAAGAGCTCAAACCACCAGAATGAGAAAGACCAGGATCCAAATGTACTTAGCAGAAACATGACCCTTGGCAAATTACTTTGTGTCAATTTTCTTATTCCCAAAAAGAAGTAATAATAGTACCTACCTCCTAGGATTGTGAGTTTTCAATATGAAAGTCTATAAAATACTTAGCATACAGCCCTGCCTGTAATAAGCATCCAGTAACCATTAGCAGCTATTATTTTCATTGTCTATGCCAATGTTATCAAACTATAGTCTTTGGCTCTGAGGTCAAGAAAGTCTACCAAGGTACCTTGTGCCAGAAGCACAGACTCAGGCCTCCCCTGGAGCCACTTCTCCATCTCCAATGATCCCTTCTACCAACAGTCCACCAAGGACTAAGCAAAACGAGAGCTAAATTAAGGCCCACCCACACCTGTATCATCTAATTTCCCCTTAGATTATGGACCACCTGAGGAGTTGATTTCCTGAGAGCTGCTCTGACTGCCCCAGGAAGCCAAGTAGAAACTGAAAAGGAAAGTGAAGCCCACAAAAGCCAAAAACGTAAATAGAACAACACCTTATCCCAAGTAATAACCCAGCCTCTTTCAGGACTCCTCCCCTGAGGGTGAAAGAACCCACCTGTGTGCTGGGTAGTTTCAAGAGTATCATTACATATGGCACCTGAGACACTTTAAAGCTTTCAGTGCACTTCGAGTCTCTCATCTCTTCATATCCCTCATCTCCTTTAAGATAACATTCCCTGGAAAGTAATAGATGCTCCCATCCCTGGACCATTTACCCTGGAGCAGACTCTATACTCAAGCTTTACAGGTATTCTCATATAATCATCACAACAAACCTATGTGAATGGACTATTATCCCTGTCTTAAATGTGAGATGTACACAAACACAACAGATTTTTGTAGACTGATTTTGTATCCAACTTTACTGAATGTGTTTATTAATTCGAATAGGCTCTTGATGGAGTCTTTACTGAGTTTTCTAAATATAATATCATGTCATCTGCAAATTGTCACAAGTTTTACCTCTTCCTTTCCAATTTGGATCCCTTTTCTTTCTTTTCCTTGCCTAATCGCTCTGGCTAGGAGTTCCAACGCTATGCTGAATACAACTGGTGAAAGTGGGCATTCTTGTCTTGTTCCTGACCTTAGAGAAAAACATTTTCAGCTGCTCACCACTGAGTATGATGTTAGCTGTGGTTTTGTCATATATGACCTTTATCATATTGAGGTACATTTCTTCTACATATAATTTGTGGAGAGTTTTTACCATAAATGGATGATGAATTTTTGGCAAATGTTTTTTTCTGCTTCTACTGAGATAATCATATAATTTTTATACTTCATTTTGTTGATGCAGTGTATCACACTGACTGATTTGCAGATGCTCAACTATCCTTGCAATCCTGGAATAAATCCCACTTTATCACAATGTATGATCCTTTTAATGTACTGCTGACTTCAGTTTATGAATATTTTGTTAAGGACTTTTGCATCTCTGTTAATCAAGGATATTGGCCAGTAATTTTGTTGTGGCATCCTTGTCTGGTTTTAGTATCAGGGTAATTCTGCCCTCAGAAAGTGAATTTGGAAGAGTTCCTTCTTCTGTTATAACTAACAAATTCAGTAAAGTTGCAGAATAGAAAATCAATACACAAAAATCTATTGCATTCTATATACTAATAATAAACTATCAGAAAGAGAAATAAAAATACTATCCCATTTACAACTGCATCCAGAAAGAAAACCTAGGGAATACACCAAACCAAGGAGGTGAAAGGTCTGTATACTGAAAACTGTAAGACATTAACAAAAGCAATTTTAAAAGATACAACCAAATGGAAAGATATTCCATGCTCAGAAGAATATTGTTAAAATGTCCATACTACCTAAAGCAATCTACAGATTCAATGTAACCCCTATGAATATTCAAATGTCATTTTTCAAAGAAATACAACAAATACTCCTAAATCTTGTATGGAACTACAAAATACCCCCCGATAGGCAAAGTAATCTTGGGACAGAACAACAAAGCTGGAGGCATCATGCTCCTTGATTTCAAGCTACATTACAAAGCTATAGTAATT